AAACAATTGCTCCGCTGTTCACTAAATTTGTAATGCAAGCCTGTTGCTTTTTTTTTTTTTTACAATAAGTTTTTTATGCTTATTTGTGTTGCTCGCTGCAACTGCTTATCCGACCTTCCTATTTTCCGCTCGTTTTATTAGCAAAGATGGAAAATTGCAGCTGTAAAAAAAAATCACTCTGGGATCTTTTTGCTTCTGCATCAAAGAAAATAAAAGAGCTAGGCAACGGTTATGCTTTCGCCATTAGTAAAAGTAGATTTGATTGCCTTAAGTGCCAAATGCATTCCCAAGGAATGTGTTCGGCCTCCGCTCTCCTAGTACTTAAGAAAATAAGCTGCTGTTATTTTAATAAAACTGTTTAAAGTTTTGGGTCTGATTTTATTGCAGCAATTTTATTGTTACATTTTATATTTCGTACTGTTGTAAGAGGCCCTGAGTGTTTGCATAAATAAAAATGTGGAGTATAATTTCAATAATAAATACATTTTTAATTTCTCATTTAAAAGTTGGAGATTAAGTAAAAAAAAAACAGGGCTGGAATTCTAAACATCCCATATACTTTGATTAAAAGCTGTAGCTAGGTCAACTCTACCAAAATAAAAGCAACCAATAGTTCTTAGAACTAACCTATTTTTAATTTTTATTTTTTAAAATAAATTTAATTTCCTTTGGAGGAAAGAGATGTTAAAACAATGAACATAGTACAGCACCATAAAAAAAGAAAAATATTGATAAATTGGGGTTGGTAAAAATGTGAGGTAGTGTAATAAACTACAATCCTGTAAGTGAAACTGAGTGCAATCCTTGTGTTAATGGTGTACCTTTAAAAAAGAAGAAAACCCCACTCTTTTGTAATAAAAATAATCAGCATATAAACACATTATCCTTGCCTGCAAGCAGCAACAAAATGTTATACCCCTGAGAGTTTTTTCTCCCTGTACAGAAACTTCAAGTCATAATCTCTGAAATGCTGAGAATAAAGCAGCTACTCCTGTCAAAATCTCTGATCATAGCTTTACAAACTTTTCCTCCTATTTTCTTTTATTAACTAGCCTAAATGATAATAAAATGTGTCAAAATACAGAATACTAGCTGTTGCAGCCATACTGCATCTGGAGTATACCAGAGTTTGGGAAACAGCTGTCTAAAAAACAACAAACGTCAAACACTATGTGGACTGTGACGGGTGTGCATTATCACCCTTGTTATTTAATATATATTCTAAAGCTTTATAAGAATGTCAAGAAGGTATAAAAATTAATGGCATAGTAAATTTATGTTGTCCAGATACTACTCTATTAGCAAATAGCAACCAAGGTTTACAAATTTTACTCAATTAGATTAAAGGAGTAAATGTTTATCAGAACAAAAATATAGTTATCAGCAAAATCCATGAACCAATTATAGGAAAATAAATGCAGAAGGTGCAGCAGTATAAATACCTGGGCTCTGTTTTTAATGATAGATGGAACCAGAGCATGGCTATAAAGGGTAGGATTGAAGAGGCAAGAATAGCTTTTTAAAAAATGTTTGCTGCCAGGTTTTAAGATTAGAATTTTGCTGATGGATTATATGCTGTTAGGTTTTGCCTATTCTTTTTTTAATGAATAGAAACATGGAAAATAATATGGTAGATAAAAATGCCAAATCCGGTCTAAACATCTGGCTGTGCGATGAACAATAACAACAACAAAGGTAGCATACCAATAGTAACAGGCACCCTGGGTGCAATCCCAAAACATCTGGAGCACCACTTGAACACCATCTTGGCATTGACAAAATCACCATCAGTCAATTGCAAAAGCTTTACTTGGAACAGCTTATATCCTGCGATGATGCCTTTAATACCATTAAAAAACATCTGCCTATCCCAAGTTCTTGGGAAGGACTCAATAGGTGGATAAAAATGCCACATCCAGTCTATACATTGGTCTGACTGGAACTAATAATAATAATATAATTTATATGTTCCCCAACTCCCAGCAACTCTGGGCGATTAAATAACAATCAGGGGAATAGGTCTAGGACCCTAGTGCAATGAGAAATATCCACTCTGACTAATATGAAGAAAGATTCAAGGGGTTGTCCAAAATATGTCCTAGTTTCAAAAGAATAAATAGGACTGTCGCCAACCTCTTTACAGGAGACAGCATTAAATGAAGTAGTTTATCATAAATGGCTTGTTTACTAAATTGCACAAATATTCATATACCTCATTAAGTACCCACATCTGCAGCACTGGGATCATTGCAAGGGCTCTATCAATAGAATGGAGAATGCTTGATTTATCTCATTTGAGTAATTTCCACCAGTAAACATTGGATATGTTGCAGGGACATACTCCGCTCTTTCCGAGATCTAAGAGCAAGAGTAGACCATGTACCTGCCTTCACCACTGATCATGCTACCTACAGCTGACAGGAGTTCATCAACATCAGTAGCCACCACTGAACATACTCGTCCTAATATAAGGCCTTTTGTAAAGTGCTGGCACAGCATTCAAGACCTCTTCCTTCAGCTGCATTCTACAACTTTGTGGAAGAAGGCGCATTAATCTCGTCTGTCATAAGGACTAACCAGTTAAATTATTACCTTCCTGCTTCATAGAAGAGTTAGTTTTAAGATCCACCTGATAGCTTATAGCTTATATTCTTTCTATTCCAATGCATAAACCTAATCGCCAACATTGCAGCAGTATCAGAATTCAGTTTCTCTCTTTCCAAAGGTTTATTTCTAGGAGAATTAAGGCATTTCAACACTTGAATCCATACATTCTAAAATATCAAGTTAATGTTTGCATAGAGAACAGTGATATGAAAATACAGTTTAAAAAGTGCATCTGCATGAAAACATGTTAACCCATCATGGCACACTGACACTGAAAATGTCCATGCCACTAGCAGTGGTCATATCCTTCCACATTGTTAGACATATGGGGAACCAGCACAGGCTTTTGGAGATCTAAAGCATTTAAGGAGAAATGCATTAAAGCCTTTTATAATTTCAGCATAACATTTCTGGTTTCAGGAAGGTATCAGTGAAAACCTGAGACTACTCAACAAGATTATCTTAGAAATTTTGAAAACCTGTTACCAAGACAGATCTTCCTTCACAGTTCAGACTTCCTTTACTACAGCCAATTCAGTTTTTCTACATACATGCTGCCATATTATATTTGATCCCAACTCATAAAAGCTCTCACAGCCTTGCAGAAATTCATTACAAAGATAAAGAGCAGCCTCCATGATCGTAGTGTTTGGAAAAGGTTCTGCCATAAATTACAGAAATGAATGGTGATGGATGTTTTTCTAAAGAAAGACTGCAGCTGCTAACAGGAACCAGCTCCAGAATTGCAGGCAACAAAAATAAGTCTTTGCCACACCCTTACAGACTTGTTTTCCATAGAGAGCTTTCCTGTCAAGAGAAAAACTTTTATTTCCTGTTGTGGGAAACATCTTCACCTGAAAAGGTAATAAAGACCTTCTGAAAACTCACCCTGTAGCAGCTTTCACTGATCTACAATCTTAGTTCTCATCTTCCATTTTTTTTGGCCTTCACTGTGTAATGCAGTTATCACCCATATCTTGAGCGTATCTGTCCGAAATAGCGGTCCGCAAATCTTCAATCTCTTTGTGCAACTGTTTTACATCCTCCAGCTTCTCTGCTAGCGTGTCTGGTTTCAACAAGTCTTTTTCTTTAACAGAACAATGCACAGCTGTAAAACCAGACAAGAGATTCTCAGATTAATTAGTCATTTTCCAGTGAAAAATCAGTACTGGGGATTTACCTCCAAATAGTTTGGAGTTAATTAAGATAGTGCAGAATACCACGGATGTAACACATCACAATCTTGAAACCCTACACAAGACAAATCTAGAGTTCCCCAAGAAGCAATCATGCTTGAATAAAATGGAAGAAACAGTTTAAAGTTTTCCTTGACACAAAATGTTACCATCTCCTAAGGTCCATAATACTATTAAAGAACACCAACAGGCAAGTTATGACATATGGGTGTCTGAATGGAGGGCAAGGAAGAGCAAATGATGAGCTGTTCATGGTGACATAATCATACAAGTGCCATGACTTAGAAATGTGAATCAGACATCAGGACCCAAGTAAGTAATGGGAGTATTTGCACAAGGGTGTCACTGGGTAAGCGGTGTCATGGTTTGCTCTGGCAAACCTAGTGACACTGCACTAGGAAAGCTACAAAGGTATTACAATCTCAAAGTATTAAAGATAAAAAGACCATAATCTGTCACTACGGAAAAAAGATTCCTATAACTTACTCTGAATGCCTAACAGCAAAGACAAATTGGGATCTTTTCCTTGAGCCCGCTGAGTAACCACACTATAGACAGAGTGCAAATCCTGTAGGCAGCTGGCCAGCTCACTATGCAGCTCTTGGGTCAGGCTGGCTGTTTCATCTGACAGTAACTGGCTCTGCTCCATCTGCCGGAGGTGCTCCTGGAGAGTCAGGTTTTTTTCCATCAGTTCTTGGTTCTGGGCAGACAGCTAGAAATAGATGCAAAAAATCAGGCCCTTCAAAAATGATTCCTGGTTCTTCACTACCCCCTTGTTGCAATTCTGCAGTACTGGGTTTCACAAGCATGTTTGGCAACTTAGGCATCAGCAGGAGCACCCATATCTGTTCTCCTCAGTTCTGAGATCACTCTTAGCATAGTATATGCTAACTATAACACATGGCTGGGAGAAGGAAAAATTACATCTCCAGTGACCTGATACTTGGCTTTTGCAATGAAGGAAAGCACAAACGTCAGATTATTGCATTTGTGCTAGCAGGGAAAATAGTGCCCTTACAAAGAAAACTGGAAATATGTAATTATTCTGCCAGGGGACATTCCAGTACACTTATGCCTTGCTGCATAGAATAGAACTTGCAATGTGGAGATGTCCCTCAATGTTTAAAATTTGTCCTCTTTTCCCTACCCCAAGAAGCAAATGCAGTCGATCTTTGATTAAGACAAGGGTAACAAGGTCAAAGACATAGATAAAATCAATTACTATAGTGGGAAATATCACCTAGCATACTCTTAACTAATGCTCCTTAGATACCTTTCAGGGAAGTAAAAGTCTGTATAGACCGTCCTAGCTTACAAAGTTGTTACAGGTAGTCCTCAAGTTATGACTGCAATTAGGACCAGGATTGCTGTTGCTAAGCAATGCGGTTGTAAAGCACGATGTCACATGACCACATTGCTTAGCAACAGCAATCCAGGCAGTTCTGGTTGTTGTCATAACTCAAGACGCATGGGTCATTAAGCAGGAAGGGTGGAAGTCCCAGGTAAAGAGCATATGGCACACAGGGGGGTGGGGGAGGCCCTGGGAGGCCTGGTGCAGGCTGCATGCGAGTCAGGGGAGAGGGTGCTCAGTGTGGCGCAAGCTCAGAAAGGCCTGGGAATGAGGGCATGGGGTACATGCGATCACAGGGAGGCTGTGGAAAGAGGGTGCAGGATACGTGCGTGCAATTACAGGAAGGCCACGGGAAGAGGGCATGGGGTACGTGCATGTGTGTGTGTGACTGCAGGGAGGCCATGGAAAGAGGGCGCTGGGTATGTGCGAGCAAAGGGGGGAAGGAGGGCACAGTGCATGCGAGCAAAGAAAGGCTGGGTGGGGAGACTTACTCCAATGACTTGGGACCTTCCCTGCTGGCTTTCCAGTGACTTTGCTTGGGGAAAGCCGGCAGGGAAGGCTGCAAATGGCGATCATGTGACCACAGGATGCTGGAACTGGTCTTAAGTGCAAGCTGGTTGCCAGCCACCCAAATTTGGTTCATGTGACCGTGGAGGCACTGCAACAGCCAGAACTTCAAGGATCAGTCATAAGTCCCTTTGTTCAGCACTGGTGTAACTTTGAACAGTCGCTGAACAAATGGCCGTAAGTCGAGGACTACCTGTACTGCATTCTCCATTGGAGTGAAGGAATAAAGCTGGTTTACATATAGAAATTCCTATGAATCTCTGTGATTGATTTGTATTTCATTTATTCAGACAGTTTCAGCACCAGATTGATGTTAGCAGTCCAACCCTCCCATCTATTCAGAGCAGAAGGGAAAAACAAAATGTGGATTGTGCTGCTTCATCACAATGTCCAACTTCTGACAAAACAGCTATACAACCACATCTCCTGGAGATCAAAAGGATCTCCACTCAGCCTCCTTTTATCACAGTATGTTTTTTGTATTACCAAGGAAGGAAATTTAACAGCTAGATGGCACTACATGTAATGTTTACAAGCAGCACTGCAAATCACATCCCACCATGATAACATGTTTGTGGGAACCAGCCCTGGTAGAACCAGAGCCTTACTTATGATAATGCAAAAGACTGATAGCATATGTGCTGGGCAAAATAATTTGAATTGTGGGACTACATGCAGTCTCTACGTCTCATGTAATCCCTCTAAACTGTGCTGACTTTTATTCTGAAGTGACAGAAGGGAGAATTATTTAATACATGGAGAGTAATAACATTCTTGTTAACTTAATTCTGTTTTAATTAAATTTAAATCAAATGGAGTTTTTTCCCCTTGCTTTACAGAGTTTGGCCCCTAACATCCTACTCAAAGTCCAAGTGCAGGCCTCAGTCCAAGAAAGATTATGCACTTCTGAACTAATCAGAAGGAGGGAAGGTTCAAATCAAGCTACAGATTTGAACTGGGGAAAAAAAATCAGAAGGATTAGGACACTTTATGCAAAAGAGAAACTACAGTAGTAAACCAGTATAAAGAATCAGTCAGCCTGATAATTGGGATAGTTAAACTGCCAACATTTAAAAAAGAAGCTACCTCTTTCACAGCTCTGCGTAGCTGCTGCAATGCATTTTCCTGCCTTAAGGCTTCTGCTCTCAAAGCCTGGGCTGTACCATCATCCTGGGCAATCTGTTCCTCCAGATCCTAGAAGACAAGCAGAAGACAAATTGAGATTATGTTATGGCTAATGTGGGACATTTGTGTGTTGTTATCTAATACTTCAACAAGAAGCTCACCTTTACTTGTGAAGATAACTGATCGATTTTCTTCTTCTGATTTTCCACAATCTGAAAAGAATCAAAACAATCAAATGTTCCCATACATCTTCCAGCAGATGTACCTACTGCTGAATGAATGTGCTCAGAAGCATTTGTACCATTGCACATGATCCAATGTACAGGCCTTGAAAAGTTTAGCTCCTGAGGATCATCCCACATACTCAAAATGCTAATTAGTATCATTTATGGGTTCTTTCAAAGGTACTTTACTGCGAATCTGACCTTTCCCATAAAATGCAGCCTTAGCTCAAAACCATACTTGCAGGAAAAGATAAACTGCCAAACATCTGTGTTAATGATAAAAAACAGGTATAAACAGTATTTATCCAAAGAAGAGACAGAACAAAATTAACAACCTATATCAAATCTATGCAATGCCTAGCTTTCTCACTTTATTCTCCTAAAGATTTTCACCTCCCCAATAAATGTGTGCATAACACACACTTGTATATGCATATATGTATATCTGTATACAGTACAGGTAGTCCTCGCTTAACAACCACAATAGGGACCGGAAAATTGGTCATTAAGCAGTGTGGTTGTTAAGTGAGTCACCACATGACTGTGCCCAATTTTAGGAGTATTTTTATAGTGGTTGTAAAGCGAATCACCACATTGTTAAGCAAATCATCGCATATTTAGCGAATCCCCCAATGGACATTTTTTGCTGGAAACCAGCAAAAGAGGTCGCAAATTGTGATATGTGAGAGCAGGATGCTGCAACCAATCATAAAGGCAAGCCAGTTGCCAAGCACCTGAATTGCAATCACGTGACCACTGGGCTGGTGCAATGGTTTGCAACAGTCATAAGTGCAACTACAGGTCATAAAGCACTTTTTCCAAGACCATCATAACTTTGGACCATCATTAAATGGTCATTAAGCAAGGACTACCTGTAAACATCCACCAGAAGCAATACTAAAAAATAAAGGACAAAAACTTGAACCAATTACTATTAAAATTAGGTACTCTATTTATAAAACTAATTCTTCACATGCAAATAGCAACAAAAAGATGTACAAAAAGAAGGGAAGGGAAGGGAAGGGAAGGGAAGGGAAGGGAAGGGAGAACTAAATTGGGTGAAGATGAAGAAAAGTGACACTAGACACCAAAGGAAATGGAGAAAAGCCCCATTTAGGATTTTAAAAAGTGTTAAAATAAACTAGACAAACAGTCCCACTTAAAAGACACTGGTTAATCTTCAAAGACACTGTGGGATGATTTCTGTGTTTGTAAGTGTAGACTACAGAATTAACCCAGGTATGCTTATTTTAAGTGAATGTGACTGTAAGCTTTGATCCTTTATGATATAAAACTTTGACTATAATCTTGACCAAGTACATCCCAGTCTGATCAATGAGTGCAATATAAGGATACTGATATGTAGGACTGCGCAGATCATAAAGGAAGGGAATAGTGATCTCTGTCGCTACAGTGTTAAACATCCACTGAAGAGCTCTAATTTCATCTTTGCAGTTACCTTCCTGAGAAGATCGCGTTCTTTTTGCAGAGCATCTTTTTCTCCTTTCTCTCTCTCTATCTCTCGGGCATAATCTTCTGCTACTGAAGGCTTCACGTGCTGCATTTTATCTTGTAAACTAAGAAGCAGGATACTTTCATTATATGGAATGAACTTCATAAACTCACCGTTTGAAAGTGGGTTTCATAATTGCACTTTTAAATCAAATTAGAAACACTACTCCATTCCAAAGACATATACTGATACAAAAAAGCCAAAAAGACTCTTCAATCCTGATTCCATATATGTTGAAGTTCCATGTCTGCGAGAAATTGAAAAGCTAAAATTGTCTACAAGCTATGCCCTACCATTCCCACAATCAAACCTAAACAATGAGGCAAGTTCTCTTACCATAGTTACCAAATCTCCATTGCATTCAAAGAGAAACATGGTGGAAGCAGGCAAATAAAGATGCCTTCAAAGCCTGATCCAGTTGGGGTGCCCCCTCCAGAGCCAAATGCCCTGTGGGGCTGACTTTTGTAAGGTGCCTTGGAAGGATGTGAATCCTAAAAGGTGCAATAAATACAGGTATCTTCCAAGGAGAGGTACCCAGTTGAGGAAGAAGCACGTGTTGGGAAGAGAGACAGAAATGCAAACCAAACCAAAAGAATTATCCCTCCTCAAACAGAGAAAGAGATCATATATAATAGTATCTTCCATGATTGCTACACCCAAGCTCTTTTCTAACCCTAAAGCCCATGCACTTTTGACTCTCCAATCATGTCAGGTCACTCTCTACCCTCTTCTTTTTGGGCTGAGGTATCCATACGAGTGGGGCAAATTATGAAATATCATGCCAAAACAATGCAACTTCTGCCTGTTTTGTACATTGGTCATAATAATGCACATATTACAAAAGGGTTGGGGTTTGTGTCACGCTTTCATCATTTTGATGAAACTGGTGGATTCTGTGAGTGACTCTGTCCAAGGACTACTCAGTTTACAGATTTTTGAAGTATTTGTTGCTTGATTGTCACAGTTGGCTTTCAAGACCTTTTCCTCTCTCTCTACAATTCCTATCACTAGAATCAGGGTTGAAAGGAGCCATTTGGCCTGCTTAGTGCAGGAATCCAAATTAAGGTATCCTAGATAGGTGGGCTGCCTAGGCTCTGCTTGAACACTTCCAATGAAATGGAGCCTACCATCTCTCTGGCTAATCAGTTTCATTGTCTAACAGCAACTATTGTTAACAATCTTTTTCTAAAATTCAACTGAATCTGCTTTCCTATAACTTGAAACCACTATCCCATGTCCTATGCTCTGGAAAGAGAACAGGTCTTGACCTTCTTCTAATTGAAGGTATTTGAAGAGTGCTATCATATGTCCTCTCAGTTGTTTTTTCTTATGGCTAAACATACTTCAGTCTCTCTTCATAGGAGTATTATCCTGCCAAGAACCTCTCTCTTCTTACTCCCATCCCCTTCTCTGACTAACCATGATACTTATTCTCTCCTGTATATACCTGCTGTTCTTGCTATTTGTAGGAAGGTTTTATTGCCAGCAGCACAATGAGCTTCTAGATCATCCTGGAAGCCAACATTCCCTTCTTTTCCTCTACTTCTCTGGTATTACCTGCGCACCGTAGAAAGCAGTTCCATTTCTTTGTGTTTCTGTGCTTCTAGCTGTAGCTCCTTCTCTCGGCAGCCAGTACGAACATCTCTTAGCTCCCTTTCGAGAGTAGTCACTGTTTCTTGCAAAGTACTAACTGCCTGCTGAGATTCCTTTAACTAAAACATTGGTGGGGGGAGAGAACAAACACATACATCAGACTTAAAGGAATCCCTTCTAGCAACTGGACTATTCACAAAGCTAACACATATATTATGTTCAACTTTGCAGATCTACACTATCCAGCTATTCTTCAAAGCCAGCTGCATCCAGAAGATGCCCTCTACCTTTTGATTTTGTTTTCGATGATCCTCCAACACTGGGAGGTCAGCAACATAGCGCTCCAGAGTCTCAATTCTCTGCTGCTTCTCATGGTTTTGGTCCAATTCTTTTTGGCATTTCTTTTTCAGGTGATCAATGTGCTTGTCTCTGGACTTGATCTGCACAAAAGAATAACATATAGCAGGGGTAAGTAGCAGCACTTTCTATTATTAATTTCAGATGCAAAAGGGCATTGCCTATAACCCACAAATATTAAAGTATAGAATGGTCCATTACGTAGAACAAAAGGAAATGATTCTGGGGCACAGCCTACTTTTTTTAAAAAAAGAATCATACTTTGCAGAAACATAGTTATGGAAACCAGCCCGTATTTTACAGCGGGGAACAGAGATTCAGTTTTCTACTGAAAACCTGAAGCACTGTAATACTCAGAAATCCAGTCTAACTTTGGTGCAATCATTTTGCAAAAATCTTAATGCTTTACCTTTTTCCCCTTTCCTTTCCTAGTTCCTAAAAACATCACTTCCTGTAGCAATCTACTACACAGTAGGCTGTGAAATATATCAAGGCTTGAAGTATGAATACCAGAAGAATCAAATATTATAACAATTTTTCTTTGCTCAGTTCTGCCCAGTGTGAAGTATAAGAAATATTGTTCTACCCTAAAATGTATTTAGGATGGGGATGCACATATGTATGTCTACAGAGGAAAACATGGATAAGCTCACTGTTTTTATGATCAGCAGTACTCACTGAAGCAAAATATCCCATGTTACATCCCTTCACATGTAAATAAGCACAGTGTCCTCTTTTTGCAGATCGTGTAAAGGGAAACTGGGTGATCTGTTGGGGGTTCATCCAAAAAACCTACCCTTTCTTCTTGTTTCTTCAATTCTACTATATGCTTCTGTTTGGTCTCTTTGTGAGCCTCCTGGATCTGTTTAATACCAACTTCTGAGGAAGCCAGTTTCCTTTCCAATTCAATCTTTTCCTTATTGAGTGACTCTGTTTTTTCAGTAAACTGAGCCCGTAAAAATATATTCTCCCGTTCTAACTCCTGCAAAAGATATTAAATGAAGATAGTAATAGCCAAAGCATTTCCTAAAATCCATACCCATCATCATAATCATAAAAGAATAATTGCTCAAAGAACTTCAAATGCGAGCTTAGTAAACACCGAGGACAAGAATAGAAACACATCAACGGTTGAAGGAGGAACAGAATATCTCATTTTCCTCAGCGCTCAGCAGAGAATCAAGTAGGCTTCCATGCTTAGGAAACAAAATACAGTGCATTGCTATTAGAAGAAAAGAACACTCTACAGCCCTGTCAGCAGGTAACTTATTTACAAAATTTTAGCCAATACTGCAGGGAATTAAAGGTTCCTGAACTAGCAGATATAGAACATGTCTCTTCTCCACTCATGTCTCCTCCAGTCCAGCACTTATTTAAAGTTCTTTTTCCAAGAGCATATTTCAAGCTACACCAGTTATAAGGGTTACCTGCATTCTGAGCAGATACATGTCTCCATAAGGAGCAGGATGGCCATAGAGGGCACTGTGGACTTGCAGCTCACTTTCTCGTAGTTTCTGCTCCAGCTGAGAAATGTGCTGTCTCTGCCTATGAGAATAAACCCATACAGTATATTAACACTTACAAAATTGAATGTCTAAAAGAGAACATGAGAGGACTTCCAGTAAAATGGTTAAATATCATTTATTTCTTCATGTTCATAACTGAAAGACAGAAATCAATACACAGGCTCATAGACTGATGAATGGGGAAATGCTAACAGAGAAAGAGGTTATCCACCTCCCTGATTCCTCATATAAATCAATAAAAGCCAATTAAATGCACTCAAGACAAATCACAACTCACCCTAGAAGCAAAAGCTTCACTGTCTTAGTTAAAAGACAAGCTACATCTTAGCATAACCAGAAGAGGCCATACAATAAGTATTTAATTACTTTTTGTCCTTTTTAATTAATAGAGAGAAGGAAACCTCATTTAAAAGATGAGTGTTCTTCCCCATCCCTGTGCTTTTGACACAGCAAGCACCAACACTTTTGTTCAACTGTTTGGGGAAAAATATTCTTGAACTATTTAATTTCTTCCTTAGAAATATATAGCATAAGTTTAGCCACTCATAAGTAAGTTCAAGAGTATTCACTGAAGCTTATTTTCTTATCCAGGTGCCTAGGATTACAATGTTAGCCTTTCTATCAATATGAAATACAGTCTGAGCATTGTTACTTTCTAGTGAAAAAACCTACAAGATAAACTGATGTTTGATCTCCTACCTGTCAATGAGAATTTCTTTCTCCAGGAGCAAATTTTCATTAGCATTCACAATGCCAATCCACTGAGCTGGATCAAGTGTGTGCACTGGGGTGCTATTCACCAAAGGATAGTAACAAGTAGCTTTATTTTGCAGCTGGAATCATGAGATTCAGAGACAAGGCATGAGATTCAGTTCTCAAAGAGAAAGTCGGTGTAAGATTTTGTTCTTTGTTCTCTCCTCAATGTTAAAACACAGAAGGCTCATATTTCAGCCCATTTCCAAACACCCCAGGGCATATATAGGTCTCTCTGATGTAATTTTAGAACATTGTATGCCACTACAAAGCACCCATTTGAAATAATGAAACAATTACCTTGCGGGCCTAGAAGACAATGCATATTTTATGGCAAGGCTCCTTAAAACAAATTAATAAGTCACTTCATTCAGAAAATAAAAGTCAACTTATGATACACAGTAGCAACATTTAGCTCAACAAAGCAACCCTGAACTCATTAGACCTACCTCTTAATTCTCAATAATTTAGTTCTGCCTTAATATTGCACTTGGGCTGACATAAACAATATAATTAATATGACTCTGGATCAATCACTGTATATTGCAAATGCACGTTTCTTTTGGCTGTGTCTCCAGTATTTGAAGTTGGCTAAAATAATTATTATACAATACTCATAAAAGAAATCTACTGATATGCAGTCATGTTGATATTTTGTCGACACTTGACCTGTTTTTTTTTTCAACCAAGGGGCAAGGAAAAAGACTTTCAAGCAATGTCATAATAGTGCTTGGAGTTATTTTATTTATAACAATTTTAATTTCTCCCCCTCCCCCAATTTTTCTTTAAATTGTTACTAACAGCCATCAATTCCTTGCTTTCTTTCCTAAGGGTTTGATTCTGTAATAAAAGCACATTGGAGATTATTTTTGCAGAGTACTGAATGCCCCCATAGTATACATCAGGCTTTTAAATTAAGACACTTCTAAGGATTTCCCCCCCTTTCGGCATTTGTTTCCTTTGAGAACTATATGCAACCGCACTAGTTGTGGTCTATACATTCATGGGCCTCGGCAGAAAACAGTTACAGGGAGAAAGGCTCACATTTAAAAATGGAATACCATAGCCCTACCATCTCTATGGATATTCATTTCTATTTTTCTCAGATATATTGCAACGGTATACCTAGCTAACATGCTACTGTGAATTACTATTTTTTTGTTCTAGAATAAAGCCATTCTCTTGTGAATGCAGGCACTCCCTTCAGGCAGAGAGTTTAAAATAATGTACCTGCATCTGTTCCAGTTGCAGTTGAACACAATCCAGATGTTGTTTCCAGGCACTGTGTGCACAATTCTCATGTGGATGTAGTGTACAAGCTTCCTGCTTCCAGGTCTGAGGTTGAGCAGCCAAAGCAGTAGAAGGCATACTAGCAGGATTAAGGCCCAAGGATACTTGCTTTCCACAGACTTTATTGGAATCTGTTGATGGTTTAGCATCCTGAAATATTTTATTTGATTCTTTTTCTAGACTAGCAGCAGTGCTATTTGAATTGCCTGAAGTATACATCTGGAGTTGGGACCAAGGACCAACAGAATGCCTATCTAGAAAAGAAGAGCAGGTGACTCTGGCATCTAGGTTGATGGGTTTCTGAACACATTCCACACTTGACTGGCCAGAATTACGAAACAAGGAGTGATTGCAACCATTTTCTACCAAAGCCTGATTCACACAAAGAGGATTCCGGTGGACCACCTGGGATTGCCTCAGAGCATCAGAGTCATAGCTGGACATCAGTCCTCCTATGTCACCCAATGAATTTGGCAGGGAGGGAGCCAAAGTGGTCTGAGGAGTGCTTGATTCACTTGCTAGACAAGATGATCTGTCCAACGTGGAGGGCATGACATGAGCTGTAGGAATAGCCACTTGGGTTTTGATGGGTTGAAATGAAGAACCATAGTTGGAATTGCTGGATGCTAGAAAAGAAAAATATGGGAATTAAAACCAAAACATTATAAATCAGCTGATATTCACTTACCCTGGTTCTTGCATACACCGAGTATCTAGAAAATTGCCCAAAGTAGACAACTACTGTTTAAAGTAGCCAGGCCCCTTAAAAAAAATATAGTTAGCTTTCCTAATGTACAAAGTGCTATCACTAATAATAAAATCTAGACAGGCAAGCAGATTAAGCTTTTTTGATTAAATTAGACTTTGTAACCATATAGCATTCTAGTTGCTCATAAAACACAATTTAAAGCCTTAGAAAATGTCAAAACTTACTTAGGAACCAGGACCTGAGTTCTTTCTTAAATTTCCGTCCACTGAACTTAAATCCTAATTTGTTTCCAGCTATGTAAAAGAGCAGGCTGCTATTCCAAAGAAGCAGTTAGCTAGTTACTGCTATGAAAATGCAGTAAATGATTCCATGTTGGCACTAGGCTCTTCTGAAAACAAGTGTATGTTTTTGCCAATGACTATATGGAATAAGAAGGAGTTGAATACTGAAAATACTGACGTGGAAATACCAGAGCTAACTAGATGGACGTATGAAGTTATTCTTAGTAACTCTCAGGTTTCAGTACAGGAAAAACAACAGCAGCTATGCTAAACTGCAAGGAACATGGTCTTCTCACAATGTTTCCTTCTCACAAGATTCTTGGCTACCACCATATGCATTTCAAACTTATACGTAACACCAAATCAGATGATTAGAAATGCAAGTTGAATGTGATGTTACCTTCAAATGAACTGCTAAGATACTTTTTTTTAAAAAAAACATAAGAATGGATTAATCAGAAATTTGTTCAAGAAGGGAATGCAGAAGTGTAGTTTAGTGCTATTTACATTTTAGTAAGAGAGCCAGTGAGAGAGCCAGTTTGATCTAGTGGTTGAGATGCTGGACTAGGAACATGGAAACTTGAATTCTCATCCTACCATGGAAGCCAATTGGGTGACCTTGGGTTAGTCATTCCCTCTCAGCCCCAGTAAGAAGGCAATGGCAAACCACTTCTGAAAAAATATTTCCAAGAAAACTGCATGGACTTGTCCATGTAGTTGTCAGGAGTTAATTCTGATTTAAAAGGAAAAGGAAAAAAAAAAAAACCAAGCAAACAAATAAAGGGGGGAAATGCTAAATCTTTCTAGGAAGAATATCCCTGGCACTAAGTGATACTTGCTGCTTAATGTCTAATAGGAAAAGTACTTGGAGAAAGATATCCAAATATTAAAGGAACTGTCAGGCTAGCACATGCAGAAGGAGACAATTCTTTAGCTAGTTAGGGTGCATGCATGAAATTAAACTGCCTTTCAGATCTCCATGCCTGAATGTATAGAGGATACAGAATGGTGAGGATTAATCTCTGAATGGGATTCACCTAACTGATCAGACCTTTAATAACCTGCATAAATTGTTATTATGATTGTTCTTCAGTTTATTGGTCCTCATCGAGTACATTATGTTACCTCAAGACTTTTATAATTTCACTTTCTAATAAAGTGAGCAGAAAAACTTTAAAGGGACTCTAAGCATTAAGGTATTAAAGTGAAAATTTACCATCGTTATTGCTTGATGAGGAGACTCCAATAAATGTTCCCCCAGAGGCAGCCATTCTTGATTTGATAGAGCTTCTCTCTAGAATTTCAGACTGATCTGGAATTTTCAGACCTGTACCTAGGGAGTTGAACTTAAGAATAACAATATAAGACCTAGATAAATATAAAAAGGTAAAGTCCCTCCTGAGTCAAGCTTCAACTCTGGGGACTGTTTTCAGATTTTTATTTGGATCAGCTCTTCAAAGCTGCGGTGCAACCAGAGCTATGTAGAATCTCAGAGGCAGCTGGTTCAAAGCTCTCCCACTAGTCTGAAATCTTCCCAAACATCATGTATGTGCAGAAGACACTTGACCAGGATAGCTTTGGAAAAATATATTATGTATAAAGAACCCAAGAAGTCTTCAGGAAGGTTATGTATCAGCTGACTTCTGAATTAAATTCTGGTTGATTACTACATACCAGAATTTGCAAATAACAAACCCTGGTTCATAATTCTGCAAACTGTTTTTAGCACATTTAGCAGCCACACTAACAGAGAATAGCAAAAAAGAAGCCAATATGCAGTGCAGACCAATAGGCAACATCATGAGCCAAGATATTTGTTTAGTCTTCTATAAAAAGAAAGTGGCTAAAACTGTGTGAGTTTATAAAGACCAACAGATTTATTGTATCATCATTGCAGTTTTTTTTCCTCCCAACGCTACCTACTCAGTATTACACATTTTGATAATACTTCTGAATTCTTTCCCTCTTATTCAGCTAATTATATACAGAATACTTATGTCTCCCAACTAAGGATGAACATTTCATAAACCTGACAACAGAGATCTAATCCATGAAAGCTTATGCTGCAATGAGTAAATGTCGCATGTGCATTATTTATACAAGTGCCAGAAGATTTTGTTGTCTTCCAGCCTAGTTTGAGCCTGCAGTTCTGTCCAGACTTAGCTGGAATTAACTCCTACTGAACTTGAAAAAACTTATTGGCTGTGTTCATATAACACATTGACCTAATTACTGAGGTCAGGTTTGTACAATGCAATAAACCAGTGGTTCTCAAAGTGTGGTCTGCAGACCCCTGGGGATCCCAGAGACCCTTTCAGGGGGGTCCATGAAGTCAAAAAAATAAATATTTTAGCATTTCTCTGCTTTAATTTCTAATACTGTTTGTACAGGTAGACATAACCCATATAAACCAAAGCTCTTTGGAGACCTCAATCATTTTTAAGAATGTAAAAGGGCCCCAAGACCAAAATGTTTGAGAACCACTGTGCTAAACCATCAAACAACCAAATTACTTGTGTTGCCACAATCAAGTCAAACAAAAACTAACCAGATTTAGCACATACAGCCATGAGGTTAATCCCATGTTGTGTGAACCTAGCTGTTGAGTAATTTATGTTCCACAGTAGATACACCTTAAGTGATCTGTAGCATGTTCTATGGCCCAGAAAAAGTTATTGGGGGGGGGGGCACCAGAGCAATAGCAGTGACTATGGATGATTGTAGGGAGAATTTTAACTGTAGTGGTTGGTTCCTGAAAGAGAAATATTATACATACATAACCCATATTTTTAACTGTTCTTATGTCTTTTTTAGTTTTATGCACCACCCAGAGTCCACTGGATTTGGGTGGCCAATAAATTTAAATAAAATAAATAAATAAATCCTCTATTCATGTCATTGGTATTCAAGATTATCTCTCCAACAAGCTTGATGTCCCAAAGGTGTGGGGGGGGAAACTATGTGTGTGGGGTTTGCATGCTCCCCCAATGCAACCTGTTGCATTGGGGCACAGAGGACCCCTTCTAGCGCCAGCTCTAGGCATGCTCCAAACTAAGCAGCCTTCCCCAACCAGGAGCCCTTTCGACCCACCAGACATCAACTCCCATTACCTCCAGCCAGAAAGCCAGGGCTAGAAATGATGGGCATTGTAGTCCACTGTCTCGCGCTTCAATTGGGGTACAGATGGGGTCGGCAAACCATTCCATT